TGGAGCTAGTTATTCAACATCTACTATGAAGGATTTATATGATAAAGAAGAGAACAAGAGAGAGGATTTAGGGATTGGTCTGAACGAGAATGACTTTGGTCGTTGTGACCAAAGTCATTTATCCTCTCATGATATAAGAGATATGAGTCGTCCAATACAAAGGAAGACTTTTAATCTCAAACGCTCATCACATATGGATTCATTTAATCATCACCGTTGATATGGCACAACTGTCAACTTAGGATACCAATTCTAAATTATTCTTTGTGCACGTGCACACGTGACATTACATAGATATTAGCTTTAATATTCTTGCATATTAGATGGTTAGTTAGGACTACACAAATAGAAATAGTACACATATATCATAGCTTAACAGCTTTTGATTCTTTTTTATCTGTATAAATACATGTAAAGTTGATAAATGAAATATACAGAAAATTCTTCACTGCTTTCTCTACAGTATTTTTTCAACGAGATGGAAGTAAACTCCATTATCGATGGGGAATTTGCATCTATACTCAGTTTTTGGGTTAGCTATTAACTTATACCCACTTTGCAAAAATAATTGCAAGCGTACCCACTTTTCGGGTAACTTTAGACATACGGGCCTGAAGTAGCAAAAAATTATATCTGAAGTTTGAACTTCAGAATGTTTTGCCTGAAGTGTAGAAAAACATCAGATATTTTTGCTTGAAATTTGGCCTAACTTGCAAAGGCAATCACGCAAACTTCAGTTCATAATGCAATGGCAAACTTCAGCTCAATAAAACTACATCATGTTTTGGCTGAAGTTTTTATTTTGTAATTGTTGAACTTCAGCATTCTAGGAGCTAAAAGTTTGTTTTGTAATTGATGAACTTCAGCATTCTAGGAGTTGAAGTTTGTTTTGTAATTGCTGAACTTCAGCATTCTAGGGCTGAAGTTTGTTTTGTATTTGCTGAACTTTAGAATTCTAGGAGCTGAAACTTTTGTTTATATTTGCTGAACTTCAGCATTCTTAGAGCTGAAGTTCTAAGTCTGCACACGGAAATGAGGAAGATAATCTTTCAAAAAAATAATTCAACAAAAGAACATATTGTACATAAACGAAATAGTACTAAACAACAATGAATTTAATATATCATGATTAACAGCGATTGATGTTGTTCATTTCAAAGATGAAAGAATGAAAAATATTTTCGACATGAAAACAAGTTACTACAGATAAATTAGAACCAAAAACCAATGTGCGTGTAAAGCTAAAATATCTAAGAAGTTAAATTATTGTGAATAAGACCAAACTGAACATAATGGGACAAGCAGATATATATGAATCATCAGGCTAAAACGCATAACAATATCTCAAGTTTCAGCATTCAGAAAACGAAGGAGGAGGTGAAAGAGGCCTGAAGTTGTTTAAAAAGTGGGTACAAGTTAAAACTTTTTTAAAAAGTGGGTATAGGTTAAATGGGGGCGACCAAATAGGGCACCCCATGCAATTTTTACATTATCGAGCTCTGGAAGAAGTAATGGAGAAATGGAGAGAATTGTTTTTATTGCACAACATATCAGTATATTGGAAACAGCTTCTCTGCCCGTCCAAGGTAGGGCTAAGACTGCGTATATTTCATCCTCCACAGACCCCACTTATGAGAATATATTGGGTTGTTGTTGTTGTTGTTGTACAGCAGATCAGTACAACCTGTAAATGGAGGAGTACAAAATAAGCTAAGTCTAGTAACCACCCCTTATATCTATCAAACTACTTCATTATTACAACTAACTAACAGATTAAGACTGAGTTAATTTAATGACACAACTAAGATGACCAAATTGACAGCTAGTATCTCACAGCTCTAGCAATTCCTCTACAGAAACAAAAGAAAATCTGATAAATTAATAGCTCTTAATGTGATTGTTTGACCAAAATATAATCAAAGTGCAAAAGGAACTTGAAGAAAATGTGTAGACAAAGTTATGATCTTTCTCTGTTTTAGTGTAAAATATATTTGATTTGGGACTACCTTTTCAACAGTTAAAGACAACTGAAAAAAAGAGAGTTGAGTATTTGTCATAGATATGTTGGTTCATCTTAGCGATACCTTAATCTTTATTTATCATCCAGCTTATATAGTAACTACAACCAGCACCGAGCAAAGAATAGCTATCAAAAGGGCGCTTCCTAATAGTAATTGTTTGCATTGATAGAAGCTTGGTTTTGAATCATTTTTAAAATTGATAGTACCACTATTTAAAGATATTTTACTATAAATAAATAGATGATGATATAGCTTCGGATATGTGTCGAACAAAAGAAATAGAAAGTATAAGCAAGTTTCTCTAATAAAAAATATGCATTTAACACGATTAAAAAAGAGACTGATACGTAGTTGCATTTTCTCAGTAGTGTACCTGATAAGGGAACCCAATTGTGCTAGTTGATGAAGACCCTAAAATCAGAAATCTGATAATCTTCAACTTTTGTTCTCAAGATATCTATACCCGACTTTTCAACTGATTTATTGCACCACTTTATCTCAATGGACTTTAGAGAAGAGATCTCTTGGAAACAATCAGGGATCACCTTAAGATATTGGCATTTACGCAAAACCAAATGGTGTAGTCTCGGAAGTGCATCGTCTGAGACATTCCATTCTTCAAAAAAGACACAATCTTCTACTTTCAAGTCTATGAGCTCAGGAAACTCGTCATCCCTCACTTTCCATTCTTTATTGTCAAAGACAATATCTACCAGCCTCAGTACCTGAAGTTGGGGAAGGTTTGCAATGTTTGATTCGTGACAACTGCCCAGGGAAAACCTGGACATCGTCAAATTTCTGAGACTTGAAGGGAAGTTGCATGGACCATCTATCATTGAACCTGTTGCCAAATGAATCTCAAGTGTCTCAAGTTGTGCTGGAAAATCCAATTTAGGGAAAAGGTCGTCCTTAAAATCTACAAATGAGCATGCTAGTTCCCGGAGATTTGGTGTTTTTCTCAATAGCAACTCCACGCCCTTCGGACAAGAAAAACTTGGAGAAGAAAGAGTTTCTAAATTCTCAAGTAATTCTTTCCCATCATTTAAACTGAAATAAGCGTTGTCAATATGTATATGCCTCAACTTAACCATCTTCCAAACTGTAATGGGTAGTGTCAATTTTCCTTCCTTTGGTTTGATTATCAAAGTTTGAAGATTCCAAAGATTGGTCATGGATGATGTAATTGACTCCTGAGCAATTTGTGCAGCAAAATACCTCAAGTAAACTAGCTCTGCTGGGAAAGAATAAATAACAATGGACTCCATATCCAACACTTTAAGAAACTTGAAGTTGTGAAAAATGTGTGAGACTGGGCGAGTATAAGCATATGCTCTTCTTCGGCAAAGTACAGAGCCAACAGGTGAGCAAGATGAACAACATTCTACAAGATCATCAGCATCAGAAAAGGCTAGGCG